CAGTTGTTAATTCGTAAATATTTTCTCGCTGACAGAACGGTTTAAAATGAATTTCAAAGTAATATAAAAGCAACAAATGAAGAAATCTGACGAAATTCATTCTTTAAGTTTAAATTTTTAAATATTTAAGACGCCTCTAAAAAATTTAAATATTTACTGAACAAAAAGTGTAGAACATTGACATAACATTGACATAACACATTTCATATGTTACAATCTAATATATTTACACTCCGGAATAAAAAGAGTGCACACTATAAAAATTTCCTTTTATCAAACAAATGATACAAAATCGTTTTTATATTATGCATTCTTCCTTTCCCTCTTAAGGCCAGTAGAATGCGATACTAAATTCTTCCTTTCGTCGCCTATTTTTTTAATACCTCACATATATACCACACATATATATACCGATATATAAATAAATATTAATTTCATACTTCCTTTTGTCCACTGTTCTATATTTTATCAAAAAGAGTATATAATAAGTTGAATCAGAGAGGAACAAGAAATGAAAGAATTAAAGGAAAAGGAAGAAGGAGATTAAAAAGAAAGAAAGAAAGAAAGAAAGAAAGAAAGAAAGAGGATGGAGTGGTACAAACAGAGCAAGAAGAAGGCAAGAAAGTCGAGAAAAGGGAGAGAAAGGTGTAGGTGAGGTGGTAATGTCATCGAACTTGCATAATGTGTCCTATTTCTTCAATTACACGCGCCAAGATGTCGGTGTGGCGTACATTTAGGTCACTCGTACCTTTACAAGCATATTCGAGAGACCTTTGCTCCTGGCGTGGCTGCGGAGGATGGGAATGGCAGTTGGAGAACAAAAAGAATGTGGGATGTTGTTCTTTCGACGCAGCCTAACATGCTCAACGCTGTTATTTTTGGCACTATTATCTCGTTCGTCATGCTCGTAAAGTGGGTGGAAACCTGATTGTCCCGAGATTGTCTTCGGATTTTTTAATCGCATATTTTCTTTCTGGAATTGTCAGCATTCTCGGCTACCTGGAAATCTTGAGATTCGTTCGGGTTTTGTCTTCGTGCAACAGTTCTATAGCAAATTACGAATTATTTATATCCCAGTAATTTGATGCTATAATAACAATAATTGGAAAGTTCAAATTAATTTTAAACCGCGTCAAACGCACTAACTCACGAATCAACCATGCGGAATATACATAATATACTTTTTCTAAGTATTATATTATATAAACTATCGAGTTTCAACGTTGTGGCTATGAAAGAGAATTTCTAAGATTTGTTTCGTGCTTCGATACGGATTTTTATGCAATTTTCAATTTGCCGATTTATTCGTTTCAATGGTAGAGAAGCTTAAACAGAAATTTGTTTCCATTACTATATATTATAAGTATTTTATTTTCGATATTTTATTCATTTTTAACGATATATTTAAATATATTGGAATTTTATTTACATATAACGATGTATTTAAATATATTATAATTTCAGCGATATGTATTATATTTAAACGATATTAAAATAACGATATAAAAATATATATATATATATTTTTTTTTTACTCATGCTATTGCATCTTTAAACTTCTTATTCAATTATCATCACATCAGCATAAAATTATGATAAATCATTGGCGTATGTTATACCAGAAACAGAACCAATTTTCATACCAAAATTCCATTCCAAGAACTCTCCACGAAGACGGACTAAATTCATCTACATTTAATCTCATCTTCCTATCTTCAATCATAATCAAATTTCTCGAGCAAGTCTCGGAAATTCCAGGAAACTTTCGTTACAACCTATTACCAAAATTCGCCAATTCATCGAACTATCGAATCCTAACACAACGAGAGCATACGCCAAGCTACAATAAATGTCAGATCGGTGGCAAAGATCGTGGGACGGGACATCGAACAGTGTTACACCCGGTTCCGACACGTCAGACCTTTTTTCGGCGAGCATCACACTAGCAAAACCGAGCTATCGAAAGGAGATCGATCCACGCAATGTTGTCAGCTCCTTCGAGGTGTTTGTTTCCTCGGCCGACTGACTTTATCCAGCTCGCTCCACTTTCCATTTTAATTGCCAGCACCTGGGACTCCTCGATCGGTATCCGACGACCGGGAACGAAACGGCAGATACGACGTGTCCCCGCGAATAGTCTCTGTAAACGTCGTGAAGGTCTTCCAGTCGAACAATTTGTCGATCTTCGTCTGGCGACTATACAGTGAAGAGCATAATTGTGCTACGATGACAATGAAAAGTTGTCTATGATTTGAACTGGCGTAACTTCGTAAAAAAGGATCGTTAATATAACGATCATTAATTGATATATAATAGTTATATAAAAGCGCGAAGCTTTTGACAGTCGCGAGTTCATTTTTTTTCTTTTTTTTTGGAAAATGACTTTACTATTTTATAGTCGGCGAATTTTGTCGAAAATTGTAAAAATTCAATTGCTTGTAAAAATATAGAAAAACTTTTTTGTATTTATATGTATCATCGTTTTAGAGATTGAAGTCTCTTAAAATTTACTAATTCAAAACATGAATTTATGAACAAATAGTTCTTTTACTGTGCGTTTGCAAAATGTTGGATACTTTGATCGTTGTGCAAACCGAAGGAGTAAATCAAGCTGTGAGAAAAACCGACGCAGAAAGCTAAATTTACATGAATATAGACATTACACTAAAGCTGAAACTAACTGCATAATTTTATGAGACACATTTTCTATATAATTACAACAACTATATAATAGTAGTTAGAAAGATTAAATAAATATGTGCCTCGCATAGAATTTTATTTATCCCACTTAAATTAATATTAACTACCCTTAATACTAACACATTTCATAATACAACACAACACAACACCCAATTTAAAACTATCTGTAGCTTAATTAAGTCTAATTTAGTCTAACATGTCTACAAAAAATTTAGTGATTTTTATTCATTCTATATTTAAATATTCATTCTGTTTATATAAATAGATTCTATTATATTATATATACATGTACAAATAGACTTTATTTAAAGATAATTAAAAAGCAATGAAATGAATGAAGTTTTCTTTTCAATGATTTTCGAATTTGTATTGTACAAAATCTTTTATTGATTTTATTGATTTACGCAATCTGAAACAAATCTAAGAAACTGAAAAAGATTAGTAATTTATCATTTTGTTAAACGTTGAATGTTAGGGTTAAACGACGAAAATTCAAGGAATTCTCTAATGTTTCAAATTTAATAGAACGATGACAAAAAATCGTACAACTAATTTTAAGGGGTCGTTGCGAGGAGGAGATCTTTCAATCTTTACGATCGTGATAGATTTAATCACGAAAAAATCTTTCAGCCGGAAGATCTTCGAAAAGAACGAACTTACGACTGTCAAAGTAGAAGCTTCAAAATGAGACCAAGATCGTTGCATGATCAGTTTAAATCATTAACAATTTCTTTGAATGAGTGGAATGAACATTTTGAATTTTCCGCGGATGCCAATTGAAAAAAAAAGAGGAGAACGATGGACAGTTCCGGTGCACTTGATAGTGTTATTATGGGAGTAGATCACCTTGAGTCATTTATAAATTTTCTTCACATGTAATTACCAAACGAAATTTCGAATTCAATCATTCAAAGAAATACAGTACACAAGATATTCCAATATCGGAGATATAACCAAGGGATAAGGCAAAAGAAAAAAAAATAAATAAAATTATAGCGCCGAATAAAAATTCATTTAAAGCGTGTTCGCTTTCGAGAAAATCAAGCTTGAAAATTTATCAGTTAAAAAATTAATAATAAGCAACGTAAAGCAACTTGAAAGCCAATCCCAAGCTGATCAGGACTAAAAAGAATGAACAACTGCCAAATCCTCGCTGGTCAGAGGCGCGGCAGAAATTCCTCCTCGCGAAAAGGGATGACCGATACATGCATGTGTGTACGCTATGGTGCGCGGGTGAGAGGTGGAAAGCGAGAAGAAGAAAGGTAAGAGGCGCGGATCCCTTCCCTTTTCGTTCAGAAGCTTGGAAGAAGAGACTCTCGGTGAGTAGATCGGTGTAGTCGCAGTGCATCGGCTGCTACACTGGCTGGCCGGACGTTCGACGTCGGACACCATCGTCGGGACACTCATGCAACGTGCGACAAAATGCAGCCGACCACGCTGCCCGTTCTGTGTAAGTGTGGCAAACGTGAACAGGAATCGAATTTCCCTCTCGCGGTTCTCTGCTCGTGTTCAATATATCGGCTCGAGGCTACCGCTCGACTTTGCCGGATCAGATCAGATTTACCTGTATGGGGGGGGGGGG